GGCATCACAATATGGTAAGGGGCGTAACATTTCCGTCACACGCTTGAGGTATTCGGCCAATCACAACGCACTGGATAGCTGGCCAATCAGAGCACACCTCGCTTTTCAGACCGATGAGCTTTGTAAAAATGGACGTGTTTCAGAAAGGCGAGGCATAGAGGAGAAACAATAATGTACAGTATGTGGGAAATAACGTGGTTTTTTAACTTTAAACCACATAAACACATTTCATTACACCAAATACACAAAATAATGTTCTTTTTAGCAACATCATATGACCCCTTTAAGGGCTTCGTCTCATTACGAATACATGTCTGAAACGACTCTGTAATAAAGAGTCGAGTTGATAACCCTCGGCTCAGTGAGTAAGTCAGTTGTTTTGATTCGACAACTGTTCTGACAGATTCAGTCCGCTTCGTAAACGAATCCTTTGGACAGATTTTGGTGAACCGATTCACAAAAAGATCCGAGTCGTTCATGAATCGGACATCGCTCATCAGGCGCTACAAAACGCTAAATAAGCGCGAAAACACAAATAACTGCACGTGCAACAGAGCCCAAGAAAAAGCGTCCGTTAAAATCATTAAAGATCAAGTCGCTAACAGCGCGAACCGGCTCAAGGAGGTGTGTTGTTGGATGTACGTGTTAGCATTAGCTACCTGATTGGTCCTGCTCGCTCCTGCATCTCCTCCACCGCCAGCGCCGCCTCCTGCTGCCGCCGCTGCTGCTGCTGCTGCTGCTCCTGCATCGCTGGGCTTCTTCGACAGGCTCTGCTGCTGCTGTCCCGACACTAAATCCTTGGCCCCGACGCCCTGCTGCTTGCTTTTTTTTCTCGCCATCGCTTTAGTCCGTATTATGCCCGTCGGCTGGTCTCCAGGTTCGGTGTATAAACAGTTTCGGTTCTTGTAGGCAGTCGCGAATGCTCCTGTTCTTTCAGAAGGCAAGACAACAGTGAATATGGCGGAGGGCTGGCGCACACACACACACACACACACTCTCTCGAGTAGGTTCAGGGGTCACACTTACTGATGGCAAACGGCTTCAGTATGCTTGGGGAAAACCGAGGAATCCATGTTTAATGAGGGCAATATTTCCAGGTGACAAGAGTACAGTCGGTCAAACTACAGTAGCGCAGGATTGAAGGAGAAATATCAACAAAGTAAACACGTGCAGCTTTAATACATAATAAATACATGCAAATACTCTATTTGATTGGAGGCAACGCCGGTAAAATGATACGTTAAAATAAAATAAGCCTTTTTTTGCGGCCACGTTGTGTTTTTTCGAATATTTTATAAACATTTCAATTATTATTTATTTGTATTAATATTTAATTGTAATTAAATATTTTTTTTACATTGCATTTTTAAAGCTATCTGTAGCTTATACAAAACTAACTTTATTAAAACACAGTACACGTACATTACAATTTCTCACCATATATATATATTGTTTTTTTTTTTACTTAATTTTGGTTTCCATATCTTATATTTCTCTAGCTGTTTTCTTACATTATACATAATTTATCATGGGTGATTGTATGATAATAGATGCACCGTTGTATTAGTACACTTTCTTCAAACATTTATTAATATTGGTTTAAATATGTGTGATAATTTTTATAACCTCTTACACCCAAATAACTATATTTAACATAATACGGTGTTCCCTATATTATTATATTAGTTTGGTCTCTGACTTTCATATTGTCATTATGATATTTCACTGTCAGCATTTGTGACTGTTAATTTAGCAGTTAAAAAAAGACACTAATACTTAGGATTGTCTTTTTATTTTTAGAGTGAAGAAACAAACGAGTGGCTCATGATGAATACAGTGAATATTGAACATGATAGCTCAGACAAGGTGACAGTAGTAATACATAAAACATTTCAGTCTATTGAAACAATAGGATCGTTAGCTGTTACTGTAGTATTTGGCAGTGATTCAAATTTAAGGGATTGAAATGCATGCAGCACTAATTTTTAAGACTGCACTTCACAGAAAATGTTTCTTTTTAATTGTGGTCATATTTATTTCTTGCAGTTGTGTCTCATGTGTCTCATGAGCACCAATCATTGCTAAAGACCCATTTAAGTACTGGAAATATATGACTTGATCAGTTCTCAAACAACTCACCTGAAATTGTAAAACATTATTATTATTTATTTCTGAGATATCTGCTAGATTAAAACAATAGTCTGCCCATGACAAGGCCCTTTTTGGATGCATTAATTTTATAAAAACAGGAAACATTTGCTCTAAAAATTAGGATATTCTATGTTCGAATGCATATCAAGTTCATTCATTTACCCTACAAATCAAAATACTACATTTTCAGAGATCTGCTTCATTAAGAGGTTTAAAGACACCTTGATGTGTGAGTGAATTATGGTTTGGAGGCACGTCTTTGTTTCGTTCTGTGAAGTATGTTTCAGTCATGAAGATGTACATGAATAAAGGCAGTGAGGTCAGGAAGACAAGGTATCGTATGGGTTGAGCACATGTAAGTTGGCTTCAGGTCACTCTGAGTTTTGAGGTGTACCACACAGAGGAACACACTTCTGCCACTACAACCGCTGCACACTGACTCCCTTTGCTACTTGCTAGCACCAGGTTTAGTCCCAGTTACACATTCTTCTGTAAAAATCACATTCATCATATTTAGCGTTCTCCATCTTCACATTTCAAAATCCAACAATTCTTGTCAGTACTGAGTACCAAAAAACCCATGGCTATAAGCTGGAATACTTCTGAAGAAACCGGTCATAGGCGTCATAAATTGCTTGCCTAGAGGTGAACAATAATGGATGAAATTTAAATGTTAATACATATATTTCAAATTGATGAACCATACAGTTCATTCACTTGATAACAAGCAATGTGCAAAAAATGAACCAAATAATTAGCATTAGTAACTGTGCTGGTAAGACGTCTCTTATACTCACCAAGACTGGTGCATTTATTTGAACAAAAATGCAGTAAAAACAATACAATTACAATTTAACTCTTTTCATTTTTATTCTATTTTTTAATTTATTTCCGTGATGCAAAGCTGAATTTTCAGCAGCCATTTCTCCAGTCATCAGTGTCCTTCAGAAATCATGCTGATTTGGTGCTCAAGAAGCATTTCTTAAGCATTTCAGTTTTAAATTGAAACACTTTATTTGAAATAGAAATCTTTCATATCATTAGAAGTCTTTACTGTCTTGACTGTCACGTTTGATCAATTAAATGCATCCTTGCTGAAAAAATTATGCAAAAGCACCATAAAGAATCATGATTGTAGTGCATATTATTTGTGTATGTTAAAGTTTTCTGAAGTCACAGCTTTTCATTGCATGGAAGAAAAAAAGTAAGCCGATTCATCTTTAGAACTTCTTTTGTGTTCTACATAAGAAAGTAAGTCATATAGGTTTGGAACCAAATGAGGGTGAGTAAATGATGACAGAAAATTAATTACACTTTGAACTCCATGAATATTTTTTTTTTCCTAAAGTCTGACTTACCGAAAAAGTCCTTGTTTGAAGAGATAGGCACTGATGTGGCCTCCTTTGAGGTAGCGAACCTCACAGCCAGGCCAGATTTCCTGTAAGCTGCGAACTCCAGTGCGTGGAACATAAGCGTCTTCCTTTGCCTGGACTATAATGATCAGACTGGGATCTACAGGCACTGGAGACAAATTATGCAAGACAGAGAGAGGATCAAACACAGGAACCCAATCCAAACCATGTCAACAAAACAAAACAGATTTGTACCTGAAAAATTGGCGATGTGTGTGCATTCGTCCATAACGCCCTTCATGAAGCAGAGAGACTCCCGCTGCAGCGACTGCCGCTGACCAGGCCCCCAGGTGATGTTTTTAGCATGTAGCATGTCCAAATGAGGCCTGCTGCTGCTCACAGCAGACAGCATCTGATCCAGCCCGTCTCTCTCTCTTCGGCCCATCAGTAGGGCAGAGTCTGAGGCGCGAGAGGAGCGCAGACCCATCTGGTGGTCCCTTTCTGGCGAGTGGAGGCCAAGAAGGTCATGGGTAAGATCCAGGTCAGACATACTGTCAAAGCTGCCTGGCGCATTTTTTACAAATTCCTGGCCCATCCAGAAAGAGTCTTTCTGAAAATCAAGGGTGTGTCAGGTAGTGCTTCGTTAAAAATGTTGCACTTTCAAAGTGAGTCATGTGATATATTACACAAGGAACAAATCATATATTCTTCTGTGATCTTTTGTGGTGTCTTTCATATTAAAAAAAAAAAAAAAATCTAAATCACAAGAAAACTAATTTTGCCTAGCTACAGAATAACACTCCTACCCCACAATACTCCAGCATACTGATGATTTCTTCCTCATAGACTGTGTGCGCCGCATACTGCTTTTCCAGTTCTCTCCAATTCACAGCTTGACTTAAAACACCCTGCAGAAAAGTAGATCAATTTCATTTCCTTTTAAAAAAGGAAATAATTTTAGGTAAATCAACCTGCAATACTTCAAACCATTCCCTTTTATTTTAGGTTTATGGAATCAATCTGATGTAAAGCCTGGTTGTTTATTCATGAATGAAAAATTGTAAATGTGAGTGACTGACACTTGGTGACGTCTATATTGCCATGTTCTGATGACACTGACACAGGAATGAAGACGTCAAGTTATTCACAGCTACAAAGTTCAGTAGCTGAGTGACTAATATTGCCTTTAAGTCTACATACCAGGGTTATTACAGTTTGCTAAAACTAAAACCATTAAAAACATGAACAACAAACTTGTATTATAAAATAATAAATGCTAACTGAAATAAAATATAAGAAAACGTTGTTGTTTTTTCAAGTAGTTGCCAAGGCAACATTGCTAATTTTCATTTAGTTTTAACTTGACGTACTAAATGAAATACAATTTATAAAACTATAGACAAAAACAACAAAAAAAAACATCAAGTCAAAAAAAACAACAAAATTATTAAAACGTTAAAAATCAAAAAGGAAAATATAAAATTAAATACTAAATCAAAATATTAATAAATCATTCTTAAAGCTTATAATAGTATCTAAATAACACTGCTACATCCTTTCACTTTCGTTATTTTTTTTGTTATTTTTCAACAAAATTATTAAAACGTTAAAAATCAAAAAGGAAAATATAAAATTAAATACTAAATCAAAATATATTAAAGCTTATAATAGTATCTAAATAACACTGCTACATCCTTTCACTTTCGTTAATTTTTTTTTTTTTTTTTTCTTTTCATTTTCTGACAAATATAAGCTCAAAAGTATGCTCTTCAGTGATAATGCCATAAAACTAAGGGCAAAGATATGTTAGATGCGTAATTGATGCTTTATCTATGTGTTTTATCATCACTTACATTCGTGTGCTGCCACAGAGCCTTGCATTTCATAAACTGCTAAATAAGCAGTATTTTCTAGAAAACAGTACATCTATTGTTCATTAAAAGTTCACAAAATGCAATCAATATTCACATTATAACTCAATTTTGACCACTGACTGACTGTTGATAAATCAGAGCTAAAAACAAGTTTGAGTTTCTCACTGGTAATTATGATTTTGTAGCATCTGTATATTTTGTTGTATTTTTTTATATTCTGTATACATCTTATAGCATCTTTCCAAGATATAATCAAATTAAACTAAACTATTCTTTTTTTTCTCCTTCTGATTGTATAAGTCTGGTCTGTCTCTTGTCCGTGTGATAATGTTTTGCAATTGTGAGTGAACCTGCTGTAACACAAGACAAATTTCAGACTTTGTCTGACAATAAAGATTAATTGTATCGTATTGTATAAATATGATCAATTCGAAATGAATTGTGGGCAACTTTAATACACCACAATATGTGACCCTGGACCACAAAACCAGTAATAAGCGTTAATTTTCCTAAATTGAGATTTATACAACACCTGAAAGCTGAATAAATAGTCTGTCAATATGGGGTGCTGTGTGTACATTAATGAGGAAAAAAAAATTAACAAATGATTTTAGCAAATGGCTGCAATATAACAAAGAGTGAAACATTTAAGGGGGTCTGAATACTTTCCGTACCCACTGTATGTCTAATATGATGCTAAAACTTAAATCT